GCTGCGTTAAGCATTTCGTGTTCGACCAAATCACCAACTTCTCCGTCTGCCTTATTGCTTACATCGATCGTAGTCTTTAGTAATCCCTCTGTTACTTTGGACACTTTCTGGAATGCGGTTTGGACATCCAATTCACCTTGATTTACAATCTGTGCGCGTGCTGTGGATGATACACCATCTAGTTTGTATGACTGAACACTGAGCAAGAATTTCTGTGATGTTGTCGCCGCTATCTTGGCTGTTCGTACAATATTCTCAACGACGTCGTCTTCATCTGCCAATCGAGTTATACCCTTCGAGTTTGTCAATACATCCGATACGGCCTGCGCAAAACTAGTGGCTGTCTTTATGACTTCGGTATGCTCACGTGTCCTATCACTTTTTAGGAATCTCTGAAGCGCATACGATAGCTCTGACACTTGTGTTGTAGCCTTTTCAATCATTGATAGGGTGTATTCAGGTGTGCTGTTTTGGTTTCCGACCTGCATGGGCGATTCCAATTCATAAATGCTGTCGTCGATCTTCTGGATACATGTCTGGAAAATGCTATCTATAATACAAATAACATAGTATGGTGTAAGTACGATTGTGCGCCCGGTAACAAGTATGAAAGTGAGGAAAAACGCATACCAAGAATATCGTTCAGGTTACGCAAGTGGTCGAGAATCAAGTTGTCAATTGCAGTTTGCATTCCACTTTCTGAATCAGATTGCGACTACATATATAATATATGGCTGTCAATATTACAATCATGCCATAATAATACATATATTACATATATTCATTGTACAAGTAACAACCTGTTGTAGTTTAGCCAACGCTTGAACAGTTTGATCAAATCCTGCTTGTGTTATCGCTATTTCTTCATCTTTTTCCTAAAATAAAGAATCCAGCCAGATTATCAGCTAGCGCTCAAAAGAAAATGCTCCCAAAAGAAAATGCGCCCAAAAGTATTGGTCACAAATTTACCTGAGTTATGCGTTCAATCTCGCGTTGCTGATCTTCTAGCCTTCTGAGCAAATCATCAACATACGACTGTCTACCCTATGAGCAAGACGGAAACAAAACACGGCAGTTGGTATGTGTTTGCAAAAACGGGTGATGAAAACAAAAGATAAAAGAGCACGTTGCATGGATGTCATATAGCCAATTGTAAGGATTACCTTTGCAGCGTCTTCCAGATCCTGCTTTTCTCGGTTAAATTTAGCTAAAAGAGCTCCAATCTCACTGCTCTTGGATCTGGATAACTCTTCAGCACGCGCATTCGCTGCAGCTAATTCGCGCTTAACCCTTTCTACTTCCTCTCGTTGGCTCTAGATAAGATCAAATAATGGTCATAACAAACACAGTGTCAGCGGTTATAAAAGTTGGGAATTTACAAAATTTCTAGTCCCGTTAGCCTCATGTAATCAATTCCCCCCCCCTTTTTGCCTAGTTGCCTCTGATCAACCAACAAATAAAAACTTACACCCTTGAGACGATCCAACTCATGTCTCGCTCGATCTCTTTCGCGAATCATATCTGCCAACTCTAAATTCTTTGATTTAACGTCTCGTTCCATTCTCTCCATTTTGTCAATTGCTTCCTGTGCAGAGTTTGCTTTCAGTTGAGCTGCCTTGAATTTATTGAGAAGTTCGATATGTTCTTGGCGAAGTTGAGAATATAGCTTGGCGAGTGCTTCGTATTTGTTCTTCCACATGATAATTTGTTCTAAAGAGTTGAGACGGGTGAATAAGTATAAATAGATGCAAGCGTCTCTAACGGCGCAACATAACATATATATCGTACCTTGCAAGTTCTTGATCATATCATCTTTGGATTGGAGTTGTTGTTGCAAGTTGAGATTAAGTTGCTGCATTTCATTCTCTAGTGCTTTGACTCTCTAAAATAAAACATCGTGTTAGAATGGTATAAATAAATTAGATTAAAGCATCACGTTTGCTCCCTCCCCCCTCTCTACCGTACTCCATGTAATTCCTACCCTGTCATATTGCTCCAACATCATCTGATCTCTCTCAACATGCCCCCTCAATCCCAAAATTTCTCTCTCCAGTTCTGCAACACGTCCTTCAGCCTGTCTTCGCATTTGCTCTCGTAACAACTGCTCCCTAGCCAACCTCTCTCTTTCCGCTTGCATCTTTTGCTGTTCCTCAAAGTCTTTTTGCAACTGTAGTTCCATCATTCGTTGCCTCTGTAATTCCATCTCTCGCTGTGTTTGAAGCTGTCTCTGTTGTTCTTCCAATTGTCGTTGGCGTTCGGTTTCAGCTTGATCGTTGGAATTCCAGAATTCCGTTATATTTTCTGGTTCAGAGGCGTTCGTCGATGGCGCCGGAGATCGGGTTTGAGGACGTGCCGGAAGAGCTGGAACGCTGCTATCGATTAAACTCGGTGGATCCTGGAAAAATGCAAGAAAAAAAAAAGTCACTTTGATAATTGCTTGGTAGCAACCGGATATGATGACTCGGCTTACCTGCGGTAGTTTGGGTACGTTGATTAAACTTGTTAGATATTGCAAGTTTGAGCATTCGGCATAGAATTTCCTCAGTAAATAATGCTGAGCATTATAGCGTGATCTCAACGGTTCAAGTGCATCTATAGCATCTGTTCTTCGGTGCATGGCACGAAGCATGCTGGTGAGAAATTGGTAGATACCGTAGCTTTCTTCGACTAATGGGACCAGGGCGGCAATGCGGCATTCGTTGTTTGAAGATTGCCGAAAATGAGCAAAGATCAGTTTTTGGAATTGGTCGATTTGGTCTTGAAGAGTCATTAAATCGTTGATTGTTTCGTATCTAATGGTGATAGTATAGATATTGATTAATTAATATTAATTTCAGCGCGGTTCACATAATACATGGCGTTAGTTTGTCAATTTACCCTTCATTGGGATCATCGATATTTTTCAACGTTACATATTCTTCATAATCAAAGTTCCCGTTGAATTCGGGATGATCTCTATGATAGTTTATTTTTTGCAATATAAAGTCTACGTATGCTCTGATGAGTGATCCGTACCCTGTTTTCAAAAATTAGATCACTAGTTAAAACGTGCCTGGTCGATGCATCGCGACATAACGATAGATCATCCTACCTTTAAACCCATCTCCACTGACTTTACCCAGGTTTCTGATCCATTGAACTTCGTTCTGTACTTCTTTCAACGTCTAATGAAGGGACCAATCAGTGAGATAATCAGTTGGTTGGATATATGATAATATGTGCAAAACAGCAAGCATGTGCTGATCAATCACTACGACACGTCTCCAACCTACTCTTTTAAACTACTTACAATCGGATGTCCCCCACGAATAATCTTGTGAATAGTAATTAATGCTTTGAATGTTTGCACTTCGTCATTGAGGATCGGCTGAACTCTGAAAGCAGTCCATACTGACTGGGATGAATGGTAATCCCATGTGTAAACAATACAACCTTAAAAGACAAAACGTTACTATTCAGCGCATCTTTCCGAGCCTCATTCTTGGATCTGATAAATCGTATACAAATACAAACACTAACTTCTCACATGCTTCTGCTTTGGTGCTGTTTCTATTTGATTGGTAGCTTTCCTTATATAATTAGATAAGTCGTGTTCAGCTTTTTCTCTATCAACCGAACGGCTAGGTATGTGACTCATGATATGTGTCAAGAGACAGAGTGTGAAAGAAAGAGAAAGTGTTATGCCAAGTGCTCCCCAATCAATCCAAAAGTACTTGGCGAAAGATTTGGCATATATCACCACTATGACCACTATGGGCGTATCATTTGCGCTAAAGTCGTACTTGGACTACATGAATGAGGCGCAGCATAGCCGAATCTTTAAAACGGGATCATTTATAGTAATTATAATGGGAACAGGAATAGCGTGGTAAATTATCGGATGGCTTGAGAGCCTTTTTTTTCTACGTTACAGTTATGAAGTAAAAAGCGCCGGGATATGCTCTAAATTTTTGTGCAAATGGAAAGTTGTAGAAAACTAATTATCCAATATATTTTCAAACGTTAAAAATTGAGCCTTTTGGCTTTAATCAAATATAGAAAATAATGAATTATTACGTCATACCGGCCACGTAATCTCGGCCAATACCATAAATTTACCAACAAAGAATGCATCTTGCACATTTATCGCGTTAAATAGATTGAATATAAATATCAAATAAAGACAACCGCAGCAGATGCAATGTGCAGTATTCTAACAATACGAATAGAGCTTGCTACTTATTATCCAGTTTAATTGTAAGGAGAAATATTTGTTACCAAGCCTATTGCATACTATATTTCATTTTCATCTTTCTCCAGTACGTTCGGTTTGCCTGAGAAATACTTAGTATTAGTTTTTTTTGTTTTTTTTTTTGGTTTAAACAAAACAAATGTTCGATGTGAACACTTGCCATTCAATACTTCCAAAGTTCTGTGCAAACGGTAATATTTTATGGAACTCGCTCAACATCTTCCCTTTCTTAGACTTTTTCCAATTGATCCAGTAAAGTACATCGCCGAATCTTTTCCTCGGAATTTTACATGCTTTCTTCTACGTCAGCTGAAGGCATGGAATTAAAAAAAAATTCGGTAATCTTGTCGATTGTACTGCTGATAAAACGGATGCTGGTACTCTCAAAGGAGTAGTGGGGATTACTTTGCATTTATTGTTGCAGCGGCCATGTTTAATATAATCAATAGACGCCCTACAACCAGCAGCCATATTTTCTATGAAGCATTACTCCAAGTGTGTTCTATGGAGAGAAGTTCTCATTTAGATAACACCCCAATCTGTTGGGTGCTATTATTTTAAACACTTTGAATCAGAATAGCGATAGTGTCACTGCCGTATTAGTATTAGGCCTGCATGTGACTGGAAAGATAATCTGACATGTGATAGCAAGTACTAAAAAATTTCTTTTACATCAATTCAAGGCGTGTTGGTTGAAGGATGTCTCTACCAATTCTTTCCTCTCGAATATTTACTCGTATCCATAGTTTTCGTCACGTGTCTCTTCGTCATGGCTACGCAGCGTACTCGAGGGCTTATACGAGTATGTGAGCTCAGTGGTGTTCTTGATTAGCGCATTTCTTGCATTGAATGCAAAAGACCTTTTGTAAAAACATCGAGTGTGAACTGATTTTGACTTTACCTTGTCATTTAGCTCCTGTAGGCAAGAAACAATTCACAAAAGACCATGAATGGGTTGTCATTCATAATAACATTGGTACGGTGGGAATAACTGATTACGCTCAGAAAGCATTGGGTGACGTGGTATTTGTCGAACTGCCAGAAGTAGGGACGGTAATAGAAAAAGCAGGTATAGTTGCATGAGACGATAAACGTATGTTCGATGGGAGAGACGAATTAACGAGAACGAGTCTGAAGCCAATATTTTAACACACGTATTCCCCAGAGGCTATTGGTGCAGTGGAAAGTGTAAAGGCTGCAAGTGATATCTATGCGCCTGTGAGTGGAAAGATTACTGACAGTAATACTAACTTGTCTGACAATCCTGGCTTGATAAACAAGAGCCCAGAGGATGAAGGTATTTTTATATTCTTTACACCTACGTCTTTTATAAATTTTGCTAACTAGAAAATATATTAATAGCTTGGCTTTGCAAGATCGATCTATCCACTCCCGAGGAATTGGATGAGCTAATGGACGCGGATGCTTATGAGGCATACTGTGCAAAAGGTTGATTTTCTAGAAGAGTAGTGGGCTGGATGTACCCTAATTGACTACAATCGACCCCGACGTTGACGCCTAAGGGTTCATTTGTGTAAAGTATTGTCGGTCGTAGTGATGTGGTTGGATTAGAACAAATAGATAGATTAATTGATTGACAGATGAAGTGGGATCGAGTGAAAGCAAGCTTTTCGCTGAGAATAATAAATACGGTATCAAGATGGTGTTCATACCATACGGAACCATCGATCGTTGAATTAGTAGATTTATCAGTTGTGATATCTCATTTTGACAGACAAGTTGAAGTGTCATGTGGGTTTATGCTGTTGCAAACTAATGTGATCATGACAGTCCAAGTTTGCGTCAAGTATTCAATATCAATTAATCAAGGGGATTCCTCCTTCTCAGGTTTAGAAGTTCGGAGTGAATAAATTCACTGGAATGAATTATGACTATAATAAAATTTTTTTTCAAATCAATTTTTTCATACTTAGAAAGATATAAATTGTCTCTATGGTCGAAGTTTCTATGTGTTGATTTAGTAACTATTTTGTAAAATGAGCTTGAAAATTTCAAGGTCATTAATCAGATTATATCTCAAGTGCCGTGCTCAAAGCATGCGAATTTGCAAACTCATTTATGTTCATCGATCACAGCCTCATGGGAAAGAGAGCAGATTATTGTTTACTTTCAGCATACCTGCTTAACCTGAGAGTATTTATCCATTCCGTACACGATATGGACTGCCCATTAGAATATGAAGTATGTATTACAACAGACGGCAGTCTATGATTAATTGTACTCTATCAAACATTTCTGTATTTCTGTTTCTTTAATTACTTTATATTGTTAAACTTACACTATCGACGATTGGTCGTATTAAAATTCCACGTCTGCGGAATACTTTGTGCTATACGAACGCGACGAGATTACGCTCCCAAGGAGTGGAATTCAAATTTCTCACATGAATTAAATAACAACGTGAATAAGTCCTCATAAACTGGAAACATCCGCTGCTTTACATCAACTACGGATACGAAAACATCGAGATAATTTCATGGCGCAGTTATTTGTTTTACTGAAGACGAGAAGAGACCTGTTCGTTGAAAGACATCAAATATTTAAATAAGTACGTATAATAACAACTTCCCGACCTTTTTTCTGACTTTGTTATAAGTAACAATGATAGTGAAAGGATTAATTATTAATGTACCATATATACGTGTATATCAATAAATTCTTGGATTTCAAGCTTTCAAACAAGCTGTTGTTCAAAAAATACAAACCAATTAGCTTCAAAACGATACCAAAATTGTTGCTACTTTCATAGTAAGTACGGACGATAACAGATTTTCGAATTCAAATATGCCGTAGTAAAATGTTCCTGTTGCTGCAATTATTTCATAGATATCTAACAGATGCCTGTTTCAGTTCATCGGGATGGCTCGGGGTAGGTATTTCGACATTGAATAAATTGTTTTGATTTACGAGAAGCTGGGTAGCTACAGTACACGTATTTTAGCAATTTATCAAGATTCAGATATCGTCTAAGTTTGGCTCATATACGGTAAAAATAAAATAATCATTAACGAGTTCTCATTAACCCAAATTAGTTATCGCAGTCAGTATAGACTTAAGTAATTATAATTATAATCATCACTCTTGTTTCTGGAAAACTTTAAAATGTGTATCAAAAACCCCATTACCATTCACTTTTTACCATTTCGTCGAGTCACACATCTATTTTTCGTTTTGCGAGAGTTTTTTTAACTCACAATATTAAATGAAAAAATCGAAATTTCCGTATAGAACTATCGGATTGATACAGGCAGCGTTATTGGCTTAACGTGCTGATGCGAAAACTAATTTTTTTCCTCAAACCTTCCGGCGAGAATATAGTTGTCCGTGCGTTGTATCGTCTCGCAATAATAAAATGTCTTAATACGCTATGTACACATGCACGGATGACGTTTTAACAAGGAACCACATGAGAGTTTCTATATCCTATAGGTAAACGCATCAGATAATTGTATCCTGTAGGAAAACGCATCTCGAATCATTCGCCAGTACTAGTACCATACTGATACTAGGCCTTCAATTATTCTAAATTTGGAAATCAATTCGTACAACTTTTCCTATTTTAGCAGTGTCGAAGAAGAGTGTTTCTCGCTGCGTATAGTATAATCTGAAAAGGTTGCCGATCAGTATGATCGGGGTGCTTATTCAAGGTAAATAATAATTGACCGACATTGATTGTTAACATCCAAAAGTACAGGACGTCTACCCTACAGGGCACAATTATCTACAAAACGTCTTATTCTACAGAACACAATTATTATTATCTACAGGACGTCCTGTCCTACAGCACTCACTTATCTATACAGGCGTCTTACTCTACAGGATACAATTATCTACAGGACGTCTTACCCACAGGATACAACTATCCTACAGGTCGTGTTAAGGGCACATTCGACAAATTACAAGTACAGGCGCAATCTTCTTCACTTCAAATCTAGTTTTCAGAAAATCCACATAATAAAAAAATCAGTATAAACGGGATATGATAGCTTCATATTTATATTTGCATATAGTAACAGAGATATTCTTGTAAGCATATCAATATTCTAGTTTTAGACTCAATAAATGTTAAATTGACATGATTAAATCTAAACTGTAAATTTGTATATAAGTTACAACTGTAATAATAAAAATATAGTCAAATTAGTTAATTTCAACCATCATTTATTATTATATCACATAATAGAATGTTCACTTTATCTGGTTTTGTTGCAATTTATATCCAATTTACAATCTCTGTAACTTTGTGTCAAATGCTCTGTACTAAACATATTAATGCTTCTTACTATTATCAGCTTTATATAACTCAATTATCTTCCTTATATTTTTCTTCACTTCTGACCCATCTTTATAAAAAGTATACACCTTATCACGCGCTTTACTGTATCCCTGTTCAGCTGCTTTTTCATATAACTCAAGTGCCTTTGGAATGTCTGCTTCTACTCCAATTCCATTTTCATAATACAGACCAAGAATATATTGTGCATAGACATTTCCTTCTTTAGCTCTTGATTGACACAAGGCAATAACAAAACTAATGTCAAAATTTGATCCAGACATTTTGCTATAATGCCTACTGTCTTTAACTTGTATTGACATATGTGCTTGTTTTACTGCATTCATATATGACTCAGTTGCTTTTTGTTTGTCTTTTTCTACTCCTATTCCATTATCATAACATAAAGCAAGATTAAATTGTGCACTAGCATATCCTAATTCAGCTGCTTGTTTATACAATTTAACTGCTTTTTGTTCATCCTTTTCTACTCCAGTTCCATTCTCATAACACATAGCAAGACTATTTTGTGCACTAGCACATCCTTGTTCAGCTGATTTTTTATACAAGTTAACTGCTTTTTGTTCATCTTTCTCTACTCCAGTTCCATCTATATAACATAAAGCAAGGTTGTATTGAGCACTGGCATCTCCCTGTTCAGCTGCATCTTTATACAATTCAACTGCTTTTTGTTCATCTTTCTCTACTCCAATTCCATAGGCATAACATACAGCAAGGTTATGCTGAGCCTTGGCATCTCCTTGTTCAGCTGCTTTTTTATACAATTCAACTGCTTTTTGTTCATCTTTTTCTACTCCAGTGCCATACTGATAACACCAACCAAGGTTATATTGAGCACTGGCATATCCTTGTTCAGCTGCTTTTTTATACCATTCAACTGCTTTTTGTTCATCTTTTTCTACTCCAGTTTTATTGGCATAATGTACAGCAAGGTTATACTGAGCAATGGCATATCCTTGTTCAGCTGCTCTTTTATACCATTTAACTGCTTTTTGTTTATCTTTTTCTACTCCTGTTCCATTTTCATAACACTGAGCAACATAATATTGTGCAGCAGTATTTCCTTGTTCAGCTGCATTTTTATACCCTTCAACTGCTTTTTGTTCATCTTTTTCTACTCCAGTTCCATTGGCATAACATACAGCAAGGCTATACTGAGCATCGGCATATCCTTGTTCAGCAGATTTTTTATACAATTTAACTGCTTTTTGTTCATCTTTCTCTACTCCAGTTCCATTGGCATAACATAAAGCAAGGCCATATTGAGCACGGGCATGTCCTTGTTCAGCTGCTTTTTTATACAATTCAACTGCTTTTTGTTCATCTTTTTCTACTCCAGTTCCATTGGAATAATGTACAGCAAGGTTATACTGAGCCATGGCATCTCCTTGTTTAGCTGCTTTTTTATACCATTTAACTGCTTTTTGTTCATCTTTTTCTATTCCAGTTCCATAATCATAACATAGAGCAAGATTATGTTGAGCACCATTAAATCCTTGTTCAGCTGCATTTTTATACAATTCAAATGCTTTTTGTTCATCTTTTTCTACTCCAGTTCCATTGGTATAACATACAGCAAGGCTATACTGAGCAATGGCATATCCTTGTTCAGCTGCTCTTTTATACCATTTAACTGCTTTTTGTTCATCTTTCTCTACTCCAATTCCATTGGCATAACATACAGCAAGGTTATGCTGAGCAATGGCATATCCTTGTTCAGCTGCTTTTAAGATAGTAGAAGTCATTTTTTGTTACAGTTTGTTAGTTATCTTGCTAATGAAGTTTATTAGTTTGGGTATTCGTGCGTGCATACTTATACGACAAAAGTAATGAGCTTGCGTAATCAACTACTTTTTGTACCACATCATAAAACTCCGATCGTCTATTTCGTCATACCGTCAACCCTTCAAGATTAAAACTGATAACTCGCAAAATCAACACGTTTTTCAATTTCCGCGCAATTTATATATAATAAATTCCTCATAAAGCGATAACTTTTGGCGATAGTGAGGTAGTACATTATACTGTATATGTACGCATCAATAATAAAATTTTCAAGAGTGCAATCTACCACTACAATTATACCGAAGCCAAATGGAAATCTGTCCATCAAGTGCAAAATAAACAGCCGCTTAGTAG